GACCTGGAGACCGTCGTCTGCAAGTCCTTCAGTATCCGCCCGCCTGTGGGGCTGGGACAGGGGGGTCTCTTGGGTGCAAACAGGGTCCTTTGAGCATCTGCAGGGACCCTCGAGGCTCCTCCCTGGCATCCGGAGCATCTGGAGGCTGGAGGGGGTGCAATGGAGCTGTTGAGGTCCCCCCAAGGCAGGGGGGTAACACCAGACCCACCCACCAGACCCACATTTATTGATGTTTTCTCCCCATTTCCAGTGCCCAGTGACATCACCTCCCTCTGGGGGGGCTGCCTGGGTGTCCTGGTGCCAGCCTGGGGTTGGGATGTCCCTGGGGCGTGGGATGTGCCCGGGGGTGGGCAGGGGGGGGTCCCTGTGCCAGGCTTGATCCTTAACTGGGGTGCAGATCTGGAAGGACTCTTCAACCTGATGTGAGTACGTCTGGAGGGGCTCAGGGCTGCTGGGGGGGCTCAGGGCTGCTGGAGGGGCTCAGGGCTGCTGGGGGGGGTCAGTGGGTGCTGGGGCAGTCTGGGGGTGCTGGGTGGGGGGCTCAGAGCTCCCACCTGGCTGCAGGTTTCCCGCTTTACACCCCAAGCCTTTAACCCGAAGGGCTCCTGGGGACAGGCGCTGCTCCCCTGGGAGGGTCCCTGAGCTGGGGGTGCCAGGGGGGTCCCTGACCCACCTCCCCCTCCCCTGGCACAGCCAGCAGAAGATCGAGCTGCCGGTGACGGAGAACGTCCAGACCATCCCCCCGCCCTACGTGGTCCGGACCATCCTGGTGTTCGGGCGCCCCGGGTGCCAACCCCAGTTCTCCATGTCCGAGCACATGAAGGTGAGTCCTGTGGCACCACAACCTGGGGACAGGGGGACAGGGAGGGACTGGGGGACTGACAGGGGCCAGGAAAGCCAGTGGCATCCTGGCCTGGATGAGGAACAGTGTGGCAGCAGGAGCAGGGCAGTCATTCTGCCCCTGGACTGGGCACTGGTGAGGCCACACCTCGAGTGCTGTGCCCAGTTCTGGCCCCTCAGCTTAGGAAGGACACTGAGTGTGTCCAAAGAAAGGCAACAAGGCTGGGGATGGAACTGGAGCACAATTACTGTGAGGAGAAGCTGGTGGGGCTCAGCCTGGAGAGAAGGAGGCTCAGGGGAGACCTCATCACTCTCTACAACTCCCTGACAGGAGGGTGTAGGTGGGTGTTGGTCTCTTCTCTCAAGCCACCAGCAGTAGGACAAGAGGACACAGTCTCAAGCTGTGCCAGGGGAGGTTTAGGTTGGACATTGGGAAGAAACTCTTCACAGAGAGAGGGATCAGACATTGGAATGGGCTGCCCAGGGAGGGAGTGGATTCTCTGTCCCTGGAGGTGTTTTAAGATGAGACTGGATGTGGCATCAGTGCCATGGTCTGGGTGGCAGGGTGGTGTTGGGTCACGGGTTGGACTCGATGATCTCAGGGGTCTTTTCCAACCTCGTTGATTCTGTGAGTGCCCCCTGTGTCCCCTCCGGGTGACCTCGGTGGCTCCAGAGTTACATCCCTGGAAAAGCTCCCTGGTTCCCTTGCAGAAGATGCTGCAGTGCCCCTACTTCTTCTTCGACGTGGTTTACATCCACAACGGCCTGGAGGAGAAGGAGGAGGAGACGAGCTGGAAGGTACAGCGGGCAGGGGGGGGATTTCCTGGGAGACCCTCGGCTCATCAGGAGCTCTGTGCTCTTGGGAGGGATTGCTCCCTCACTTTGAGTGAGGAATTCTCCGTGTCAGAAAGGTGCCAGCCAGAACTGGGTCACACTGTGGGGGGGGACCAGCCTACCCCCTCACCCTTTCCTTGGGGCTGGTAATCCTGACAAATGAGGAGGCAGGGAGGGAAGAACGACCCTGAATTCCTGAAGGAGCTCTTTGAGGCCAGCCCATGGCCTGGGGAGGGGTTTGAGGGAGCTCTTTGGGGCCAATCCCTGGATCTGGGGAGGGGTTTGAGGGAGCTCTCTGGGGTCAGTCCCTGGGCCTGGGGAGGGGTTTGAAGGGGCTCTTTGGGGTCAGTCCCTGGGCCTGGGGAGGGGTTTGAGGGAGCTCTTTGGGGCCAGTCCCTGGGCCTGAGGAGGGGTTTGAGGAGGCTCTTTCAGGCCACCCCCAGTCCTGGTGGTGCTTCAGAGGAGACTGCCCTGTAAAAAGTAGGATAAAACTCAGGACGATGCAGAACAAGCCCATTCCCGGGCGGATCCCAGCGGGGTTCCCTGACCCTTGGGTGGGGTGTAAACCACCAAGGTCTCCCCGTGGCAGGGCCATCCCGCTGCCCACCCTTCCCATGTCCCTCCCGTGCCCTCCCCAGGAGATGTACGGCTTCTTCAGCAGCCTGGACACCAAGGGCACCAACTACAAGTACGAGGTGCCGCTGACGGGGCCGGCGGTGGAGCTGCACAACTGCATGGCCAAGCTGCTGGCACACCCCCTGCAGCGCCCCTTCCAGAGCCACGCGGCCTACGGGCTGCTCGAGGAGGACGAGCCCCCCGAGGTCGAGGCCACCGTCTGAGCCCCTTGGGGGGGTGGTGGGTGGCTGGGGAGGGGGTGTCGTGGCGGCTCCTGCGGGGTTTTGTTGGGACGGGGAAAGAGAGGTGTTTGCCTGACTGGTGTTGTCGTGGTGGTGCTGCGGGGTCTGGGCTCGGGGTGGGGGTTGGGGGTGCGGGGTCACCCCTCCTGGTCCTGGGGGGGTGCTGCTGGGGAAGAGTTTTGGGAGGTGCTGGGTAGAGTTGGTGAGGAGTTCTGGGAGGCACTGGGCGGTGCTGGTTCAGGGCACTGGGAGCACTGGTGCAGGCACTGGGAGGCACTGGGAGCACTGCTGCAGGCACTGGGAGACACTGGGAGCACTGGTGCAGACACTGGGAGCACTGGTGCGATCACTGGGAACACTGGTACGGTCACTGGGAGCACTGGTGCGGTCACTGGGAGCACTGGTGCAGTCACTGGGAGCACTGGTGCAGTCACTGGGAACACTGGTGCAGGCATTGGGAGCACTGGTGCGGTCACTGGGAGGCACTGGTGCAGTAACTGGGAGCACTGGGAGCGCTGGTGCTGGGAGATACCGGCGCCGGCCGCTGGGAGGCGCTGATGTTCAGGGGGCGGGGCCACGGAGCGCTTTGGCTCCGCCTCCCGGTTGTTACGTCACCGGCGGGAGATGGGTGTGGCCGCCCTCGGCCGGCTCCCATTGGCTCCTCGCCAGCCAATGAGCGGCGGCGCGGGGGGTTTGAACGTGCGCGGGGCGGGATGAGCCGAACGTAAGGGGGGGACACCGGGATACCGGGGGGACACCGGGATTCATGGGGGACACCGGGGAATACCGGGATACCGGGGGGACACCGGGGAATACTGGGATACCGGGGGGACACCGGGATCCAGGGGGGACACCGGGGAATACCGGGATACCGGGGGGACACCGGGATCCAGGGGGGACACTGGGGAATACCGGGATACCGGGGGGACACCGGGGAATACCGGGATACCGAGGGGGACACCAGGATCCAGGGGGGACACCGGGGAATACCGGGACGGGGGGGACACGGGGGCGCACCAGGACACGGGGGGGATACCGGGACCGATACCGGGATCGGGAGGGGCACGGGGGGACACCGGGACCGGAGTGGGAACACCGGGACCAAGGGGCACACACTGGGGCCGGGAGGGGACACCTGGACAGGGGGAACGCACCGGGACTGGGGGGGATACCGGGACAGGGGGGACTGCTGCTCCCCACGGTGGGGACCCCAACACCGGGGACCTGCCGGGGCCACGCAGGGTCCCCCCCCCGATGGCGCTGGAGCCTCGCTGCGGGGTGGTGGCACTTGTGTGACCCCCGGGGGGGGGGGCCGTGACCTTCACCTGCGGCCCGGGCTGGGGGTGACCCCCGCTCCCGATCCCACACTCCAGGAGTTCCCGGGAGCTGACGCCGATCCACGAAGCCGCGGCCCGGGGGTGCCGCCGGTGCCTCGGGCTCCTCCTGCGGGAACGGGGGCACCTGCGGGACCAGGTGAGCGGGGACAGGGACAGCCCTGGGCACGGGGACAGCACCCACGGGACCCTCCTGGTCGGTGGGGCGGGGGAACTGTGTCACCCCGTGGTGGCCCTGGCAGCAGTGACAGCGATGTCCCCTCACCGCAGGATGGAAAACAGGCCATGGATGTGATGCCGGAGCAGGGCTGGCCCCTCGTGGAGGGTGAGGTCCCCTGGGTGCCCCCTTGGCTGGGGTTGGGGGTCCCACCCAGCCCCCCGGTTTGGGCTGGGCACTGATTCCCGTCCCTGTCCCCAGCCCCGGGGGGGCACAGGAGGGCCCTGTCCTTCCTGACCGAGGATGACTCCGATGGCAGCATCTCCCCTGGGTTCCCTGAGGACAATTCCGAGGCCGGACCCCTCAGCAGCACCCACAGGTCCCTCCTGGAGGAGCAGGAGCTGGGGGGCCGCTGTGTCCCCCCGCTGTGGCAGGGCCGTGCCCCAGAGCCCCCATCCCTCCCCTCATGGCTCCAGGGGGACCCCAAGGGCTCTGCTGTCCCCCCACAGCCCCTGGCCTCCAGCACACTGCTCTGGGACAGGGATGAGCTCCCGGAGGGACCCCCGAGCTGGACTGGGGGGGGAAGGACGGGAGCTCCTCCCTGGGCTCCCCCCCAGGCCAGTGTTGGGGACATCCGTGTCCCCTGCCCCCAGTTTGGCCCCGGTGGGTCCCTGAGGGACCCCCGGTGCTGCAGCAGGACCTTGGGGGGACACAGAGCCCCCCTGCCCTGCCGTGGCCTGAGCAGCTGCTCCGAGATGTCCCCGAGCCCTGGTGACGGTGACATCCCTCAGCACCGCCCCGATGTCCCCTGGGGAGGGATGGGGGGTGCTGCCCCCGAAATGGGGGTGGTGGTGCCCAAGATGGGGGTTGGGGGGGTGGGACCCCCATAGCCCTGGGGACCGTGACAGCCTCGGGGACAGCAGCAGCCCTGGGGACAGCAGCAGTGCCACCGAGTGCTTTGTCACTGCCCTGGGGACCCTGGAGCCCAGCGAGGCCGGGGGAGGCCAGGGGGCTCAGCCCTGCTGTTCCCCCCCGCCCCGGGCACCCGGGGGGCTGGAATGGGGTGCAGCCCCCTCCCCAACGGGAGCTGCCCCCCGGGAGCTGCCCCCTGCCAGCCCCCCCCGCGCGGAGCGGGCTCAGGATGGGGGTTTCTGGGGGGGCTCCGGGACAGCCCCTCGCTCTGGGGGTGGCCCAGGCACGGGTGATGTGGGGGAGCTGCTCGCCCGGCTCCAGGGCTGCAGCCTCCGGGGGTCCCCGCCCCGCACCCCGCGGTCCCCTCGCAGCCCGGCCAGTGTCACCGCTGGGGATGTCACCCCCCGGGGCCAGGAGCCCCCCGGGCACCGCCACATCACCCCCAGGACCAGGAGCCGCATCCGGGCGGCCGCGGCGCGGCTCAACTCCTCCTCCTCCTCCTCCTCCTCTTCCTCCTCCCTCTTCAACGGGACGCTGCCGATGCCCTGGAGACCACCCAGGATCAGATCCCCCCGGGGGGTCCCCAGGGACCCTGCCACCTCCCCGGGACACTGTGTCACCTCGCGGGACGAGGATGTGTCCGGGGAGGACGGAGAGGGGACAGACTCTTTGGAAGACACCCAGATCCTGCCCGGAGCCCCCCATTCACCCCCGGCGGGGGTCGGCAGCTCTCCCGGCTCCAGCCCCACGGTCTTGCTGTGCCCTGGGGACCCTGGATCCCCCCCCAATCCCCCATCAGGCCCTCGGGGCTCCCCCCACCCCGGCGTGCTGGAGGGTGGCTCTGGGTGGCAGCGCCACTCGCCCTCGAGGACGCCCCAGTTCCAGTGGCCCCGCGGTAGCTCCAGGCACCTTCTGGCCCCACAAGCATCCAGCAGTGCCAGGGGGGACCTGGGCCCCCCGTTCGTGCCACTGTCACCCCCCGGCTGTGGCCCCCACTGCTCCGGGGAGCCTCGAGAGGACGAGGGGCAGGGACTGTCACCCCCCGAGTGTCACAGTCCCGGCACAGCGGCCACCCCCAGCCCCGAGGACGCCATGGACCGGGATGGTCGAGTGTCCCCGGTGTCCCCGGGGCCCCTCTCGGACCAAAGTCTGCGGCGGCGGCTGCGGGAGCTGGGGGAGGACCCGGGACCCGTCACCGACCTCACCCGGGGGCTCTACCGGCGGCGGCTGCGGGAGCTGGGCACGGGGCACGGCGGGGAGCCGCAGGGTGAGTCTGGGCATCCCCGTCCTGGGGGACCCACCCCGGGGTTCCCATCCAACCTGGCAGCTCCCCGTGGGGGTGGGGGTGGGTATAGGGGGGTGGGGGCCGTGGTGATGGGCACGGGGGGCTGCACTGAGGCTCACGGTGGTCCCCAATGCTGACACGGCCCCCCCAGGGCACAGCCCGGAGCTGGTGGCTGCGCTGAGGACCGGCCACATCCCCGACTGTGCCCAGGACGAGCTGGCGCTGGCGCAGCAGTTCGAGCGTCCCGACCGCGGCCGGCACTGGCGGGAGGGGCTGCTCAAGTCCAGCTTCAACTACCTCCTCCTCGACCCCAGGTAGGGCCACGGCACCGTGCCCGCTGTTCCCTGTGCCAGCAGGGCCCAAAGGGGGGGACTCCTGCGAGGCATCAAGGCTCTGAGGTGGAGTTTGTACCCCCAGGACTACCCAGGACCTGCCCCTGCGCTGCCCCCGCCTGAGCCCGGCCCAGAGCTTCCAGACCTTCGTCAGCGCCGTGTTCTACGTGGGCAAGGGCACCCGGGCCAGGCCCTACTGCCACCTGGCCGAGGCCCTGGGCCAGCACCGGGCAGGGACACGGCGGGTGGGGAGGGCTGGGGGCCCCGGGGGGGTGGGTGTGGGGGGCTGTGGGCTGTGGGGAGGGGTGTGAGGGCTGCACTGGGGGGGCTGAGTGCTGTGGGGGTGGGCATGGGGGGCTTCCATGGGGGGCTTGAGGCCCTGAGGGTGGGCACAAAGGGCTGGGGACCACGGTGAGGGACGTATGGGGGCTGCACCGAAGGCTTGAGGCGTGGCCGTGGTGATGGGCATAAAGGGGGGACTTGGGGCCACGGTGACGGGCACGGGGGGGCTGGGGACTATAGGTATGGGCACGAGGGCTGTGCTGGGCACTGATGGCCCTGCTGACGGTCCCCGCCGTCCCGCAGGGCTGCCCCAAGGTGCGGCGCATCCTGGAGATCTGGGAGAGCGGACACGGCGTCATCTCCATGCTCTGCTTCCAGAACAGGGTCCCGGCAGAGGCCTACACGAGGGAGGGCTGCATGGTGGAGGCGCTGGGTGAGCAGGGTGGGGGGATCCTGGGGCTGCCCCGACCCCCAGCACAGCCCCTGGTGTCGGCTCTGCCGCTGCCCCCTCTCCCGCTGTCCTTCTGCCACCCCTCCAGGAGCCGGGGGCTGCAGGGGGGTCATGGAGGGGGGTGCAGCCCATCCGGGGGACTTTGGGATTCCCAGTTCCCACTGCAGGGTCTGGTGCAGCCCCCAAATCCCCCATTCCCAGTGGGAAAAGCTGCCTGGGGGTGGGTGCTGGTGGGGGGTGTGTGGCTACCTCTGTCCTCACAGGGCTGTGGGTGCTGGTGGGGATCACTGGATCGGATCCGTGGGTGCTGACCCTGTTCCCATGGGTGCTGTCCCCCTCCCCACAGGCCTGCAGACCCTCACCAACCAGCGCAAGGGGCACTGCTACGGCGTGGCCGCGGGCTGGGCGCCCGAGCGGCGCCGGCGCCTGGGGGTGCACATGTTGCACCGGGCCATGAGCATCTTCCTGGCCGAGGGCGAGCGGCAGCTCCGGCCCGGGGACATCCCGGGGAGGTGACCGTGCTCGGGTCGGGGGGGGAGGGGGGCAGCTTTTATGTCGTGACCGCTGCGAAGATTGTTTCTGTTTTTCCTATTTCCCCGGCCGGGGGATCAATAAATCGCTGCGGGGCTGGGTTTGCCCGAAGAATTCCCGGTTGTGGGAGATTCCTGGAGATTCGCATCCCTGCTCCGCTGTGCACAGGGACAAGGAGAAGGACCGCCCCCCCCGTCTCCAGCAGGCAGTGGGACACGGCTGGGCTGTAGCACGGCTTTACTGGGTGGAATGGCACTAACGCGGCGTCGGCGGCGGGTTCCGTGTGCGTTTGCCTCGGCTCGAGCACAAGCGATGTGGGGACAGAGCCCGGGGGGGGACGGAGGTGGCAGAGCTGCGACCCCCCGGCTGGCCGGGGAGGGGGGGCACGGCGGGGGCAAAGCCGTGTCTGGGGGGACGTTTGGTGGAATTTCTGGGCACCCTCTGCAGCCCCCGGGGTGTGCTGGGGGGGTTCTCCCTGGGCAGGACGGGGTGGGAGGGGGCAGAGGGAGATGGTCTGAACCCAGGGGGCTTAAAATTCTCATTATGAGACAGCGGTGGGAAGGGCAGGCACTGGCAGAGGGGGCACAGGGGACACGTCACTCGGGGTCTGCTGGACCCTTCCTCTTCCACATCCTTCAGTTTGGGGACAAGAGTGGGCTCAGCCCCCGGGGAAGGTGCTTTGCAGGGTGATCCCAGCTCTGGTGGGAGCAGCCCTGCCCAGGAGGTCCCCTCTGAGCCCCCTGGGGGTGCCTCGGTGCGGTGCCAGCCCCGTTCAGGGCACAGGGGCCGGGTGGGACGGGGGCCGAGGGTGAGGTTTCTGTGGGACTCGTCATTTCTTTGGTTTAGATGGGTGGAGCGAGGGGCAAACAAAGCGGGAGCGGGGCGGGCGAGGCTGGGCCTGCCCTGGGAACAGCATCCTCCCGGTTTTCCAGGAGCCCCGGGAAGCTGAGATGGTACTTCCCGGGTACTTCCTCCACCCTGCCCAGCTCCCGGCAGCAGGATGGGAAGCACAGGGGTGGGAGGGGATGGGTTATGTACAGAACAGTGTCAGTGATGGTGTCTGTTGGGATCAGGTGGTCCTGGTTCACTTCCTCGCTCCCGTGTTGCTCCGAGACCCTGCGGATCCATCCGGGAGCTGTCGGGAGGGACGGACACAGCGGCTATGGGATGGGGTATTGCTGCTCCCCTGGGGGACGGGGAACGGGGGTGATCCCAGGGGGAGTTTGTGGTGTGTCCCGGAGCCGAGGAGGAGCTGGGGAGGGCGGGTGGCTCCAGGGGGGCTGCGGCAGCGGGATGGGGAGCGGGGGCTCTGCGGAAGCGCTGCGGGACCTAAAGCGATGGAAGGGGGACCGCGGGGGGGACGTGGGAGAGCTCAGGCTCGGCTCTGCCACAGCCAGGCCGGTCCCACCGCGGTCCTGGCCGTGCCCACGGAGGCAGGACACCTCCTCATCCTCTGTGCAGGAGCTGCTGCCATCCACAAGGAGCCCCTCGAAGCCGGGACGTGGCTCGAGAGGCAAATCCCGCTGCTGAGGCCGAAGAGCCTTTGGCTTCCCCTTTAAAGCAATCCCAGCTCAGGTCCTCCGGCCCTCCTGGAGCCCCTGCGAGTCCTTCCCGTTCTGCCGCGGGTGGGACCAGTCCCCGGAGGTGTCGCTGCGTGAGGAAAATAACACTACAAAGGAACAGGATGAAGACGCTCCGGCGCCGTCCCCGCGGGGGTGGGGACCAGGTCTGCCGTGTTCCCGCTGCCGGCCCTGCACTCCCTGCCCTGGGGGAGCCTCCCTGCTCCCCCTCCAGCCTCCGGCACGGCCGGGAAACCAAACGGGCTGCGCTCCCGACGAGGGCAGCCCCCGGAGCCCCTCCGCTCTCACAAACCCCTCTGCGCTCCGAAACATCTCTCCCATGGGAGCAGCCCGGTCTCCGTGTCCCGCTGCCTTATTTCTTCTCCCCGTGCCCGTCCCCAGCTGGCGTCTCGGGCTCCCACAGGACGAACTCGTGGAGCAGCGTGTTCACCGTCTCGGGGCACTCCATCATCACCATGTGGCTGCCCTCGTCGATCACCTTCAGGAAGGCGATCAGCAGGATCTGCGGGAGGAGGGGTGGTGGCACAGGGTCGGCGCTGGGAGGAGTCCCCCGGGCGACCCGCCCCCGGCCCCACTCACAGGATCAACACGAAAAGACCTCTGAGGCCGAGCGTAGCCTCTCGCCCCGCCCCGTACCTCGGCCATCCTCTGGTCCTCTTCCACCGGGACGAACTTGTCGTGCATGCCGTGGACCAGGAGCACGGGCACGGCCAGCTCGGCGTGGTACACCTCGTCCCCCTCGGGCCAGTACTGCCCGCTCATCATGGCCCGCAGCACGAAGGACGAGACGTTGAAGGCGTTGCCTTCCTTCAGCAGCTGCTTCTCTTTGGCACCTTGGCGGGCAAAGCCGGCCCTGCCGGAGGGAGCCGGGGGTCAGGGGCACGGAGGGGGAAGGATGAGGCGTCCCTGCCCCTCACCAGCGTGGCCACTCACTTGAGGAAGCTCCAGGCCAGGCAGGGGGACAGGCAGTGCAGGACGCACGTGGGCATGTTGAAGATGGAGCACAGGCTGGGCTCCAGCGCTGTGGGGCCCCCGCCGTTGATCATGATCACCTTATGGACCAGGTCTGGGTACTCGTGGGCGAGGAAGGTGCAGAAGGACACCCTGCGGGGACAGACAGACATGGGGACCACACCCTGACCCCTGAGGGCCTGGCACAGGTTGCCCAGAGAGGCTGTGGCTGCCCCATCCCTGGAAGTGTCCAAGGCCGGGTTGGACGGGGCTCGGAGCGACCTGGGCTGGTGGAAGGTGTCCCTGCCCATGGCAGGGGGTTGAGACTGGGTGGGCTTTAAGGTCCCTTCCCACCAAAGCCATTCCAGGATTCTGTGATCCCAAGGACCTGTGGCTACACCCCTTTGTTTGACCCCTGCTCCCCCTTTCTGGGGTGGGGGACACAAACCCCCCAGCAGAGGGGCTGAGCCGGGGCTTTCACTCCTGCCCAGAGCAGAGCAGGGTGCTGGGACCCACTTGGGTGCCCGCCAGCCTGACCCAGCCTTGTCCTGGTCTAATCCTGCCCGTCTCCAAGCCGGCTCCAGCTCCCTCTCCTCCCAGGCACTGCTTAGTGTCTGTCTAATTGACTTTCTTGAGCTTACCCTATTTATAGGCCGTGCTCTGCCAGCTTCCCCACCGGAGGCCAGGCTCTGGGATTAGCTGGGCCCAGGGACACCCCCCAAGAGGATGTAGGAGATCAGAACCGAGGGATAAACCCGGCACAGGAACCCCCACGCCCCCGAGGCGCGGGATCTGTCGGGCGTTCGCCGCCAAGGAGGGGACTGGGGGGGTGGATCCATCCCTTCTCCAGGCCCCTTACCCATAGGAATGTCCTATCAGGATGTTCCTCTTCTTGGCGTAGCGCTTGAACACGGCCCTCATGTCCTCGGCCAGCGCGTAGAAGGTGTAGGCGGCGGCGATCTGGGGGGCCGAGCTGCAGCCGTGCCCCGCCAGGTCCGGGGCCACCACCTCGTAGCCCAGCTTGGTAAAGAAGTCCAGCTGCTCCTTCCAGATGTCCAGGGAGCCGCCCACGCCATGGATGAAGAATAGCACCACGTCGCCGTGCGTCCCCTTGCAGCTCGTGATCTGCTTCCTGCAGTCGATGTTCACCACCTTCTTGGGCTTGCGCTTGCGGCGCTTCCCGGGCGCCGCGTCCCGGGCGCCGCATCCCGGCGTCCCCGCCGGGGCCTGGCCGGCAGCCTCGGACAGCTCCAGCTCCACGGTGCCGCCGGGCTCGGCTGCGCCGCCGGGGCCGGGCAGGATCTCGGAGCGCACGGCGTCGCCCAGGTTCTCGATCACCAGCTGCCCGTTGCGGTACAGGGTGATCCGGCGCTTGCAGTGAACCACCCCCCGCTCGGGCTGCGCCTCCTCGGGCTCCTCCGGGGCCGGCCGGGCGGGAACGCTGTGCCTGACCCGCAGGATCCGCCCCGGCTTCACCTCCACGAAGCTGTAGCCGTCGCTGGACTCAACGCTGTCCAGCGGCCCCACGGCGTTGGTGGTTTTGCCCATGAGGCAGCAGAGGAGCCCATCGGTGATGCTGTTCAGCATTATGCTCCCTGCAGAGAGGGCCAGCGGGGAAAAGGGGGGTTAGGAGGCGGCTCCAGCACCCAGAGGGGTCCTGGCTGGGGCACTGGGGAGCAGTGACAGCCCCGTCCCCTCTCCTTCGCTGCCGGCCCCGGGAAGAGCCGTGGTGGCACAGGGGATGCCTTTGGGGTGGTGGTGATGCTCCCCAAAATCACAGCCCTGCTCAGCCTCCTGCCCGTGGGCTGAGGGGTCAGATCCCAGGGGGATCCGGCATTCCCTGTCCTGCTCTGTCCGGGCCATGTCCTTGTCACCCAGCAGCCCCCGTCACGCAACCGCAGCCCCCCAAGGAGGGATCTGCTCTGACCGAGGGGAGAAGCACGGAAAGAAAAGCCTGTTTGAGACAAAAAACTCTCTTTTCAGCCCCAAATATGGAGCGAAGGGAAGAGTCAGCGCTGGGAATGCATTATTTATACCAATTAAATATATATATACACGCGTCTCGAGTCTGAACCACCGATCCAGCAGCGAGGTGGGAACGACAGCGACGGGAGATGAAGGATTTAATTAAAACCACTCCACAAACCACGGCTGAAAATAACACAGCAAGAGAAGGAAGGGGGGGTGAACCCCCTCCCACATCCCCGTGTGGGCTGGGGGGGATGTGACACTGCCCTTGATGTCCCCAGGGCTCATTCCTTGGCTTTGGGAGAGGCTGTGGACTGGGGAGACCACTGAGCCTGGGGAGGGGGGAGGCTGGTGGCACCGGGGACACCGATGCCAGGCCTGGAGCCCGGCGGTGCCAGAGGGGCTGGAAGGTCCCTGGCTGGCAGCCGGGAGGGTGTTAATTATTGATGAGGCAAAACACGGTGAATTATTGATGCCAAGGGGCAGAGAAGCGGAACGGGCGCCGCGCAAAGGGCTGGGCCTGCAGGAGGGGGCACCGGGCACCCACTGCCACCCCCCTGGAGGAGGACAAGAGTGTTCCCAGCCAGGAATTTAATGGATAAATCCCAGTGATCCTTCAGAAGCAGCCCCTCAGCTCCCCC